TTATATAGTTAAAAAAAAAACTTGCTACGTGTACTGCGTTAAGCTAACTGAGACCTGTTATAGCACTTGCATATCATTGCTCTTTTGTTGATTTTGATTGCTTCCTAACATATTGGCTGTTTATTAGTACTAATAAAACTGGATAGGTCTAGACTAAAATGTACTGTACATAGTTATGTCATGCAGTTTCAAAAATTACAGATTGTTACTGTATATTGTCTATTCCAATAAATAAAATAATATTTGGTAATTTTGAGCTTATTTTGCACCATAGTATGGTTACTGATTTCTGATTATGCCTGAAAACAGATATTTAAATTTAGATATTTTGCGTATATGAATGAAAAATAAAACACTGTTAATTTTAAAGTTAATTTAAGCATCACAACATTATAATGTACAGTATAAAAAATGGATATTCAGGTTTTTAATTTACTAAAGATTATGTTCAGCCGTGTTTTACTAGATTAACTTTAATGTTGCTGCTAACTAATGCTCACTTAATATAAAAATAGGGAAATTAATTAAATATCCAATAACCCAATACTCATAAATTAAAATAATCTATTTAATACTGTCTGATAACCAATATATTGTACCAATACTAATACTGATTGCGTATATTTCTGAGTAATTTACTGAATGTAAAATAAGTGGTATAGTTTAATTTCAGCAATGTTGTCTCATTGGCCTTCACAAAAACATTGTTTATGTAAAATATTATATATTTCACAGACACTACAGTTCTATTATGAACGTTTGAACTGTGGTGTATATATATTTTATATAATATGTAAAATATTATAATCTAAGTAGTTTGCAAATAGATATCGACACAGGCCATTAAAGAACCCTTTGTAACTTTTAAAAGCAGGAAAGGGAGTTGGTTTCAGCCAAGTGCTGAGGTGTATGATTCAAAAATGACCTCATCATCCAGATTTACCAGGAACTGCTGAAGATGAGATGAGAGGAGAAGGTGGGAGACAGTGAAAGGCAAACGTGGAGGAGTGTGACTACAGCTCTAGCCCAGCCAAATAGGAAGGAAGTGAAGAGGAGACTGGAAGATTAAAAAGGGAGGCCATGATAAGAACCAGAGGGATAGAGAGGTGACCGAGGGAAGGGAGGGGAAAGAAGAGGAAGTTTAACAGCTGAATGCACACTCAGAGGGGTTAGAGGCACCCAGACTGCGGTCAGCTCTGCTCTGAATGGCGGCAGGAACAATGGGCCTTCTCATGGAGCCTGTCTGCTCTGCTCTGTGGTGGGCAAACCATTCAACTGCCTGCTGCCTTGGCCCTCTTATTCTCTTTGGGAAAGTGTGAGGGGAGTTTATGAGTAGGGAGTCGGGTGCACTGTGACCAGCAGCTGCTGCTCCCTCATTAGCATGCGCACCTGCTCCCTGAGGCCTTTCTGGAAGGCCGACACAGGCCCTCATAACTGCACACAGTGATGTCTTGTCTGGGTTAAATCAGCCTAATTTTTCTGTATTGAAGGGGTGATATCGTCTTTTTTTTTTTTAAGTTTTGGATACAAGAGCATGATAAACTAACCAACTACAACCAAATACATAACTTCCTCTCTAGTCCAAAAAACATTTATTGCAACCAAGCTGTAAAAGACTTGGAGAAAAATAACAGTATCGTGAGAAAACTATTAAGATATGTCCATATAAGTTCATTCTGCTGTTCCTGGCTGTTTGGCACCTGCTGCTCTGCATTTCCTTCTGAGAGAAGTTAGAAATGAAAGAAGTTAGAAAGTTTATTTTAACAATGTCCCTGATCATTTCAATCTGACTTTCAGCAGCACATTCAGCACACGCCGAATCTGTCATTTTGCAAAGAGGCTGTATTGGAAGGATGGGGACGTCAAACGCAATCAGATTCCAAAAATTAAGTACTTGTTAATGGATTACATTACATTGTAAAATGCTTCTAATTATATTACAGTTACTTATTTATAGATTACATGATTACATTCATACGTTATTTTATTCAAAAATATTCTCTTGAAAACCTCTCAAGATTTTAAGAACATTTGCATGTTTACGGTAAACTGATATCAGTTAATGGTCATGCTGACATGCAGGTCAACAAGTAAAATATTTCTGTTTATAATGTTCAAGTATTGTTTTTATTTTAAAAGTATTTACTTTTTAAGTTTACATTTTTATGATTTTTTAAAAATGCTTTTCATTAAATCCCAAACCCCAAACTACAGTTTAAATATATATATATTTTTTCGATAATCATTCTAATCTAGATGTACAGTATGTCACAGTACGGAAGAAAGGATTTGTTGCTGCTTACATTTCAGCGCAACTTTAAAGTCATAGCAGCAAACAACAGACTATTTAATACTCAGGGTCAAGTGGAAATCAAAAATAGGCAAGTTGCTGGTGCAAAACAATTAATAAATGGACCCCAGTCAAGGGAATAAAACAATAAAAATGTACGCTATGACCCGTTAAATAGAACATTTAATAGCATTTCTGGCTGTTCCACAGGCTGGAAACCTTCTCTTCTATGGAAATCTTTTACAATGTCAAGATTGATGACACTTACAGAACTTCAGAGTTTGTTGTGGTGCTAGTGATGCATAAGATGTTTGTGTTGTTTGTGTAATAATCACAAAAACCTAAACGAACTTTTTTCGATAATCATTCTAATCTAGATGTACGGAAGAAAGGATTTGTTGCTGCTTACATTTCAGCGCAACTTTAAAGTCATAGCAGCAAACAACAGACTATTTAATATTCAGGGTCAAGTGGAAATCAAAAATAGGCAAGTTGCTGGTGCAAAACAATTAATAAATGGACCCCAGTCAAGGGAATAAAACAATAAAAATGTACGCTATGACCCGTTAAATAGAACATTTAATAGCATTTCTGGCTGTTCCACAGGCTGGAAACCTTCTCTTCTATGGAAATCTTTTACAATGTCAAGATTGATGACACTTACAGAACTTCAGAGTTTGTTGTGGTGCTAGTGATGCATAAGATGTTTGTGTTGTTTGTGTAATAATCACAAAAACCTAAACGAACCTCCAGAAATGTGCCGGACTGGCCATAGGACAATGGGAGGAAAGGTAGCATTGTGGGCAGCAGTGCAGTTCCCACCGTGCACTTAATGGTTTTGTCGTGCATGGTTCTCAGTCCCCTGTGTTTTCTTTTCTTGGTTGAAGTTATTGGCCATCCTAATCCTGGGGGAGACACAGTAAAAACAACCAACCCACTGAGGGGGGCCCTGTTTGGATCAGAAAACAGTGCGCTGGGAATGTGTTGAGATATTCCGGCTGCCCCCCGAGGCCAAAAACATGGCTTCGGTATTCCAGAGGCTCTGGATGGCTTTAGCTTTTTGCAAAAGGTTTTTTCAGCATAGTCATGCCGAGGGAGGGCCCCTTTTGTGTCGCCGAGTAAAATCGGCAAAAGATTACTTTCAAACCAACCCAGGAAAAACCTGTTATGAAGTCTGTATGGCTCTTTTACAGAGTTTTTGCTGTGCCGTCTCTGTATTCCCAAGGTCCTGATTGATGCTGCGGAGACTCTGTACTTTAGAAGAATAGCAGGCATTGAGGTGGAGGAAGAAAGCTTTGAAGTCCTGATAATGTTAGGCCTGGGTTCAAAGACCCTTGTATAGACACAGCCTTGTCTTTGGAGTGAATGAATTCAGATTCATTCAGAAAGGCTGAGGTGCTCGTTTTTTCTCCTAAGAGCCGCTGATGGATGGCTGACTTTCATAAATCCGTTTGAAACAGGATTACACCTGTGAAGCACAACCTCAATCTGTGAGAAAACCTTAAACATTTAAAAAGCACCTCCAATTCTCACTATTAACTAGTTGCTTATTAGCATGCCTATTATTAACATATTGGCTGTTTATTAGTACTAATAAAGCACATATGATCATATTCTACATCCCTAATCTTACCCAATACCTAAACTTAAAAACCACCTTACTAACTATTAATAAGCAGCAAATTAGAAGTTTACTGAGGCAAAAGTCATAGTTACTGGTTTATTAATAGTGAGAATTGGACCTTAAAATAAAGTGCGACCGCACAATCTTTTTACATTTTGTATTTCTTTGCTGTGTATGTCTGGATTTCTCAGGCATACATTATATGTTAGTATGCATGATATTAAAATTCTGGCCAATACAGGTAAGGTGATAATGAATTTTTATGTCTGATAATGATAACTGATAAATGGCCAATATTAAAATTACATACTAGTTTATCTAAATAATTTAAAGATAAAATACATACATATATATATATTATAGATAACTGTAATAGATAACTGATATGTTACCTATATTACATATTTGTTATTATATGATGGTTCAGTTGCGGACTAAATAATTTTGCTATAGTTGTAAACCTATAAAGCCAGTGAGGCCGTTCATACTCACTGAGGTTTTTTGCATTCCACTGTGCTGCTGTTCCATTATTTCTCTATGTAAACATGCTCTGTATTGACATGTTTGACTGTTCAATTTGTGACAGTAACTCGCACGTGACAGCTATGTTAACAGTGCTCAAGGTAAAATAAGTTAAACTTTAAAAATGTGTCCCTAGACCTTGTTTTCCCATTCCATTACCCTCTGTCTCAAGATCTCGAACGCGTTCAGTGTTAAAAGCTGTTTTGTGTAATAGTTTTGGCATTAAAATGCTTACTCCTAAACCAGATTTTTATGCAAATATTAACAAGCTGTTTGTAGGCTGATTTCTACAAAAAAATAAAAGACTTACACTTTATCAATTTGTACGAGCAACAAATCTGACACAGTAACATTACTAGTTACTGTTTGTTAAGAGAAGTTTAAAAAACGTAATTATAATGCAGTGGTTTCATTACAGTCCAGTTACATCGATTTATACTGACATTTTATCCTGTGCAAGGCTAATGCCATTGAAAGTGGCTTTATGACTATGAAGCGTAAATCATATACTGAGTGCAGTATATATAGTACTAATTCTCCCTGTGCTTGCTTTCCACTCTACAGGTGTCCTGAGCCGTTTGCCGGCACAGCGTGCCAGTTCCGCAACCCTTGCTTCCAGTCCCCGTGCAGAAATGGCGGCGTGTGCCGTTTGATTACTTTTGTCAATAAGGTGGACTTTGTGTGCAACTGCAGCCTGGGCTACACGGACCGACTGTGTCTCACTCCCACCAATAATGTGTGCCTTAGCTCCCCATGTCGAAATGGAGGCATGTGTGAACTCACCAGCATCCACAGTTACAAGTGTAAATGCCCACCAGGCTGGTCAGGTAAGACCACAATCCAGTTAGAAACTATGTATATGAGGAGTATGAACTAACATCTCAAATCCAGACAGTGGTGAGCATATTCTGATCGTAAACATTCTTTATCACTAGGTAAAAACTGCCATCAAGCTGATCCTTGCGCCTCAAATCCATGTGCCAATGGCGGTAAATGTAGTCCCTTTGATTCAGACTACATCTGCCACTGCACGCCCTTCTTCTCAGGTCAAACCTGCAAACAAGACGTCAATGAGTGTGCCCAGAGTCCCTCTCCTTGCAAGAATGGTGGCGTGTGTGAGAATGAGGTGGGCACGTATCGCTGCAACTGCCCTGCAGAGTACACTGGGAGACAATGCGAGACCCTCTATCAGCCCTGTAACCCTTCACCATGCTACCACGGAGGAACCTGCGTACAGAAGGGAGAGACGAACTATGAGTGCTCCTGTTTGCCAGGTAGGCATCCTTAACCTGTTAACCTGCATGAGGACTCTGGCGTCCTAAAGGTTTCTTTGTTTTCATGAGTTCAAAGTTACTGTTCACCGCTATACAGTAAAACAATTACCATTACCAATAAACACCATAACTGTTAACATTTGTTACACTGAACTATGCTGAACTAAGTCTGTCTTGTATAAAATACTGTATTTGTATTTATATACAGACACACACACACACACACATATATACTGTATATATATATATATATAAATACATGTGTATGTGTAAGTACAGTATATATATATATATATATATATATATATATATATACACACACACACACACACACACATACGATTAATCGCAGACAATCATGCGATTAATCGCGATTAAAAAAATGTAATTGTTGCCCAGCACTAATATATATATATATATCATACAGTAAGTGGGGGAAAAATTGATTCACCTAACTATCGTGATTCTTTTTAAAACAATTTAGATATATATACACATACACAACATAAAACTAAGCACTAAAATATCTGGCAATACAATACAATTACAGAATTATAAATAAAATCACAATAGTTTCATCGATTGAAATGGACAGATTGAACTGATTTTTGGAAATGAATAAAACCTACCAAATCTAAAACAGTTTGGATCGAGACAAAAAGTAGTCATGAAAAACGTTCAAATTATATATACACACACACACACACACATACGATTAATCGCAGACAATCATGCGATTAATCGCGATTAAAAAAAATGTAATTGTTGCCCAGCACTAATATATATATATATCATACAGTAAGTGGGGGAAAAATTGATTCACCTAACTATCGTGATTCTTTTTAAAACAATTTAGATATATATACACATACACAACATAAAACTAAGCACTAAAATATCTGGCAATACAATACAATTACAGAATTATAAATAAAATCACAATAGTTTCATCGATTGAAATGGACAGATTGAACTGATTTTTGGAAATGAATAAAACCTACCAAATCTAAAACAGTTTGGATCGAGACAAAAAGTAGTCATGAAAAACGTTCAAATCAACACAATATTCACAATGTTGCCTGTTGCCATAATTTAGCCAGCTAAATCAGCATGAATATGTGGATATTTGATATATTGCCTAGGTCTGAAGCTTATGTGATTATGTACTTTGCTGACTTGTTCAAACATATACCCTTTCCTGACTTAAGAGCTGTTTAGCATGCTAACATTCAAAGACTTGTCTTAAATACCCCTCATGATTATGGGGTCTATGAATCTTTTTAATCATGATGAGGGCTTTAACTGACATTAGTTACGTAAAAAATGAGTTCATTAAATGACGGATCAATGGCAGCCTCTTAACTTTGATCACTCAGAGGAAATCCACCTGGCTTATTTTGACTCACAAGTGTCCTGTTGACGACATCGGTTCCAGCAGTAAGACAAATTATATCGGCCCTCTATCCGGGTCAACACTGAATGTAGAGATTTCAGATGAGCTCAGTGAGTTTGCAATAACAACGCAGTATCAGTGTTTCCCACAACTTTGGAACATGGGATAGGCTACCTCTCCCAGAATGCCCTTCTCACAGCCTCATTTAATCCCAGCCTAGTCATAGTATCTGCGCTCCCGCTGCAGCTCTGTCTGCATGTGTGTGTGTGAACAGACCGGCAGGAAAATATTTGCGCTTATCATGAGGAAATGTCTGAACGACAACATCCTTATGCTGGTGTCCCTGGGTTAGAGTCAGTGTTGGGAGAATGAAAATGCGTGTCTGTGTGTTCGCCTCTCATCACTATTCCTTTGACCCAAGTGGATCTCATATAATGCCAGACAACATAACCTAAACCTCTGCATTGAGGAAACATCACTAAAGGGATTTCTTTCTCTTGTATTCCATGCATTCATGGGCTTTGAAGGATGAGTTCATAATATATGATGTGATCAGTTATGAAATATACCATAACTTCACTTTTTGGAGTTAAATTGTAGGAAATTGTGGTTAGAGTCAGTTGAGTCGTTGTCGTTGGTGCCTCTAACAGAATCCTGGTACTGCCAGACTTCTCAGAAAAGAAAGACTGTTGACCGCAACAAAAGTAACGACTGTTTTAAAATGTTTCACAACATTTTATCCCTCTGTTTATACCGGGAAACAATTGAATTTGCATGTTTGTGTTAAAGGATCTGTACTGTGCAATCTGATATAAATATTTAGTTTACTTTTAGTTACTTTAGTTACTTTGTGAAGAAACATGAATTCTGTCAGCAAACAGTTGCTCAAATATTTATCCATGTCCAGAAAATGTGATATTGTGGGTTATGTATTAAGTGCTGATTTTTTTTATTTCACACTGCTCAAAAGATACAGGATATGTTTATGTTTTTTGGATGATAGTGTGAACAGCAAAAATCTGAAATTTGTGGAAATACATTGGAAAGGTACACTACAATTCAAAGTTTAAAATCATGAAGCTTTTCAAATATGTTTTTGAAAGTAAGGCTATATTTATTTGATCAATAAGTTTTCTTTTTCAGTATATTTTATTGAAAAAAAGCTGAAAAGCTGAAAAAAAAGCAAAGCTGAATTTTCAGCAGTTATTAATATTCAGTTATTCAGTGTCACATGACCCTTCAGAAATTATTTTATTATGCTGTTTTGGTGCTTTTCTTATTATTATTATCAATGTTATCAACAGTTGTGCTGCTTAATATTTTTGGGAACTGTGAGCCATTTCTTTCAGTATTCTTTGATAGATTTTGAATTTGATTTGAATAGAAAGTTCTAAGGAACAACATTTATTTGAAATAGAAATCTTTTGTAACAATGTAAAAGTCTTTACTGTCACTTTTGATAAATTAATGCATTCTTCCTGAATAAAAGTATTAATTTCGTAAAATAAAAATGAATTTTACTTCATAAAATGAAACTTTTGAATAATATTGTATTTAGTTCAGTTTTTAGTTGACTTTTTAAGAAATGTTTACTGAAATTGCTTATTTCTTTTCAGGCTTCAGTGGTCAGAACTGCGAAGAGAACATTGATGACTGTCCAGACCATCGTTGCCTTAATGGAGGAACCTGTGTGGATGGAGTGAACACCTATAATTGCCAATGCAAGCCAGAGTGGACAGGTATCAATTGCCTACTCACACCCCACATTTCACTTACAGATACAAAGAAAAAAAATGGAATCAGTAAGACTAACTAGACTTCAATAAGTAAAATTTATTTTGGCATTTCATCTGTGTCTGGAAAATAAATGTGTGTGTGTATATATATATATATTAATTCCTCAGGTCAGTTCTGTACCGAAGACGTCAATGAGTGTGATTTGATGCCCAATTCCTGCCAGAATGGTGGTACATGCTTGAACACACAGGGTGGATACAACTGTGTGTGTGTAAACGGCTGGACAGGGGACGACTGCAGCGAAAACATCGATGACTGTGCAGATGCAGCCTGCCACACAGGAGCCACATGCCATGATCGGGTGGCCTCCTTCCTCTGTGAATGCCCTCATGGGCGCACAGGTGTGCACCTTTTTTCTTCTTCTCATGAATCATGCATCATGGTTTGAAACACTCATTCTGTTATTTGAGCATTAGTTTTTTTGTGAGTTTTGAGCAAATCCACTGAAGAAAATCTCCCATTTTCTACTGGAGCAGAAAGTTGGGATGGGGCATATTAATTTGCTTGTTCTGCTAATTAATCTGCTAAAATGTATTTATTTTTTAGGAGTACACTTTTTAGGAGAGCTAAGTGGCATAAACATCTATTTTGATTTCATAAGGTCTATAAAATCTGCCTTACTGTTTAAAAAGGAGATGTTCAATAAGGTTTAATCTCATAAATTGCTGCACAAGTTAATTCTCACTGTGTGTCTCTGTGTTTTAGGTCTGCTGTGTCACCTGAATGATGCTTGCATTAGTAACCCATGCCAGAAAGGCTCCAACTGTGACACCAATCCAGTCAACGGCAAGGCCATCTGTACCTGTCCTCTGGGTTACGTTGGCCCATCCTGTGACCAAGACGTTGATGAATGTTCGCTGGGTAAGGGATGGCTGTATTGTATTGAATACATAAATACAAACTGATGGTGCTTGATAAGCACACTAGTCATGTTTAAAAATGTAGCTATTACAATAGAATATTTTAATTGTAAATGTTTAAAGGGTGTTTTTTCCCCCCTTTTAGGTGCAAACCCTTGCGAACATGCTGGAAAGTGTATAAACACAAAAGGTTCCTTTCAGTGTAAATGTCTGCGGGGATATTTGGGAGCTCGATGTGAACTCGACATAAACGAATGCATGTCCAACCCATGCCATAATGACGCTACCTGTTTGGATCAAATCGGAGGCTTCCATTGCATCTGTATGCCAGGTAACCAAAAGATCTGCAGCACTTGGTTTAAATGCTCTCTATATATTACCCCCATACTGGTGATGTCATTACCTCACATGACCAATCTGTGATCCAATAAATTGCTTCTTTTGGCAGTAACACTAATGATACTGATGCCTGACTACATGCAATTAATATTTTCTGTTTATTGCACACAAAAGAAGCACTAAAAGCATTGTTAAGACATGCTGAATTTTCTTGCTAAGTCTGGAGCTTACTCCCCTATGTTAATTGGCAGGGTACGAGGGAGTCTTCTGTCAGATAAATACTGATGAGTGCGCCAGCATGCCCTGCCTCAACAATGGGAAGTGCATCGACAAGATCAACAACTACCAGTGCGAGTGCCCCACAGGTGAGCGTGCAGGGGTCAATCACCTCCCAGGACAGAACAGAGTGGAGAACACTAATCCCTGCCCTGAGGCAGGCTTACACAGCCCTGGCTAAAATGCTTCAAATAATCCATATGAAAGCTTCTGGAAAGTTAAAATTTCAGACAGTTTTTGCTTGAGTAAGATAAATACAGCAAAAACGTATTTGTGTTTTTAATCAAAATAATATTTTTTCTACTGCACGAATTTTTTGTTAAGAAATTCTAAATATATTTTAATACATATTCAAATGTTTATTAGTAGTGATCTAACATTTTTATTGTAAGAATACTTTTTGCCCCTACTTTGATCCTTTGTCCAGTTCCAATGACGTGAAACTAATTTTGTTGAAAATGTAGGTTTGTGAAAGGCTCTTCTTATTGAAAAACAGCACATTTAGGATGCAGAGGAATTCATGCATAAATGAAGGAGGATAGAGCGGAGGTACAATATTAGGCATGATGAGGATGTGTAAGGAGAGGGGCCTACGGGGACCCCCAAGAGGTGTAAAGGAGTTTTGGGAGATAGCTGAAGAAGTGGAAGCTAGGCCCCCTTCACTGTTTCAGATGGAAATCAGAGCTCCTTTTCAGCATGCGGCGCAGGGATCCTTTTCAGTTGTGTACACACTGAATCCATAGCAACCACAATGGGCGCTTTTTAAAATGTGGCATTTTAGAGGCTCGGAAGAAATTCCTGTTCTGAAGATGCATGGGACACTACTTGATTACAGATGCCAGGGGGTCTCAGGGAATGGCATAAGCAAGTTTGGAATTTGTTATCAGGATTATCACTGTAATAATACAAGATGTGATGATCAGACTTGATGATAAAAAGGACAGAAAAATCCCATAGATTTACACTAAAGCCATATCTAGAGACCAGAATGTCATAGAGTCTGAAGGTAGGCTACGAAGATTAACACACAGCACCTTAAGAACTGCATACCAACAATTTTGTTTTAGTGTTGCTTTAAATACAGAGTTCTGGCATGAAACTCTAGATGGCGCAGTCCGATAGGTCTAATTCAGTCTGACCTAATGACATCATTATCACATGGCACAGCTGATTGGTTCTCTCCTGTATCGGTAGCCAATGAGCTCGCTGCTCAACATTCAAATATATGATTAGTGCTTGCTGTAGCAGTTGCAGCTTGCTTCAGAAACCCTCCACCTTCCCCAGCTCCACCTGTATAGATCTTCTACGAGGTGATTCATGTATGCTATATGGGGGTTATTTCATGTATGTTATATTTGCAGCAGCAATACTTCTTACATGCTCATAGCAGCATGTTGTGGATTTATTGGCAGTAACAAGTCTCGGTACTTGCTCTGCTGCAGCAGCAGCAGCATAGCAGATCTATTCCGCCAAGACCAAATACATTAACATAATCATGTACATTACCATGCCAATCCCTCCAAGAGTTGTCATGACAGAACTATGATAAATGTCCAATAAATCTCCACACTGATGGATTTGTAGCCCTTAATGTGTTCAGACTGTATATTTGAACAGCAGACATCTTTAGCGAGGGATTAAAATAACTGAGGGAGAAAGCACAAATGTTGGGGGTTCCTGAGCAATGGGGTTGCTGAATAGCATGAGGTCAGGGGTTGCGTGGGGCACTTTTGGTGAGACAGACTCAGAGAGGGGGGCAAAGGCTGGATGGGAGAATGCACATTGTGATGGAAAACTTCTACGGGACAAAGGAGGCAACCGGCATGGCTTGGTGTGCCACTGAATAGACAGTTCCTCTTTGTCTGGTGCCCTTGGTCAGGAGGCCTTGGAAGTTGTTTACCGCCATTTTACACCCTTCTCCCCCTCTCACTGTGATGGTTTGTTGAAAAGCAGCTTGAAAACCTGAGAGAAAGGGGGAAAGCTTACAGCCGAGTATTAATGAACGCTGGCCATGTTGTATACGAGTGTGGAGGAAGTGGGTGCAAACCAGAGGAATCTTTGTATTGACCTTCCTCCCCTTTCCTCTCGTCTCCCTCTCAGGATTCTCGGGGAGTCAGTGCCAGTTCGACATCGATGAGTGCGCTAGCACCCCCTGTAAAAATGGGGCCAAGTGTATCGATGGGCCCAACATGTACACCTGCCAGTGCGCTGAAGGTATGAAGACGCCGTCTGCTTGATTCAGCTTTAAAAAAGTCATAAAAATACATAAAACATATTTCTGTTGTGATTATACATTTTTACAGCTCTAAAATATTTATTTGGCTATAAATGTATCTCTGAGTCATGGAAAAACATGGAAATTCCAGGGCATAAATGTGAGGAAATGTGTGTCATAATAAATAGAATAAATTAATATGTTTTCCTTTTTAGGATACACAGGGCAGCATTGTGAAACAGATGTAGATGAGTGTCTATCCAACCCGTGTCACTATGGCACTTGTAAAGACGGCCTGGCGTCCTTCACCTGCATGTGCCGTGCTGGTTTTACAGGCCGTCTGTGTGAGATCAACATTAATGAGTGTCTCAGTCAGCCGTGCCAAAATGGAGGCACCTGCCAGGACCGTGAGAATGCCTACTTATGCATCTGCCCTAAAGGAACCGCAGGTGCCACTTTTACTGTAATGGTCAAAAATGTGAACTCCTGCTTGTCAAAAGCTCTATTCTAAGTTCTATTTTGTGTTAACAGGTGCTAACTGTGAGGTTAACCTAGACGACTGTCAAAGCAATCCCTGTGATTTTGGAAGATGCATTGACAAGATAAATGGTTACGAGTGTGTCTGTGAACCGGGATACACAGGTGAGTGGTCTTAGATCGTGTGCTTCATACGTCGATAAACAGCAGCTGCGCTGAAATATAAAATAGTCTCATCATTTGAAATGAGAATTCAATTGGATAGTTCGCCCAGCAAAGAAAATATGGTCATTATTTCCTCACCCTCTTGTCATTCCAAACCCATATGCTGTTCAGTTTTCAAGATCTTAACAAGACAAAAATCTTTACAAATATCTTTTCCATACAACAGTTAATAGTTTCCATGAGCTGTCAAGCTTCAAAAAGGTCTATAAAATATAAAAGGGCCATAAAAATTGTGAACAAACAACACTGAAAACAGACTGAAATTTGCATCATTATTCATTGATAATATTTTGTGTGTGTTCTGTGTATGTGGGTTTTCTACCTAAATAGCTATTGATTACAAGTACATAGTAGATCTTTTACTTTACAATTAAATAAAAAGATAAATGTGTAAAACTGCTAATTCTGATGTTCGTTTTTACTACTAAGAGAGAGAAAAAAACTAGAAAAAACTATTTTCATATATACAGCAATATACAGTAATTGTGCCCATTTTTATTTTTTTAAATCAGTTAATCACAAACCCCACCCTGCAAGCTATTTTTATTGATCAGCTCAGTCACCTGTCAAGAAAAGCTCAGAATTTATGGATTGAGGTAAGAGTTCAGAAAAGTCACATATGTATCTGATCGGGACAGTCATGCTGTCTATCAGGATTTGCTACCAACTCTACACTCATGTTAAGTTTAGGGTTAAGGGTAAGTATTTTTTTCAGGGTTAAGGGTAAGCAATAAACACCATTACTATGTATTGTGCTTAACTGGTTTAGCCACTAAAATAGGTGTCCTGAGAAATTCTCTAGACTCTATAAGTAAAATTGTTAGGGCAGCTGCCTATGTCTTGGGAGGTCATGGCTTTGGAGAGTGGATGTGTGGTCTAGCATGAAGTCTTGCATAGGTTAGCAAATGGAGAGGTTTTCTAAAGTTATTTGTGCACAATTTCTTGTACTCCTACGCGTATAATCTAGTATTTCATAAGAGATCTAAACAATGTCTCAAACTGTGCTCTGATTTGCCAAGATAACTGTTTTCAATATGAACTCAAACATAATTTTTTTCCCAAGACTAAACTAACCACATTCGCTGTGTAACTCTTACTGCATGTCAACAAGTCTTATTTTTTAGATTTTTAATAGAGACATCTGGGACAAAGTTGATACTTAAAAAGGTGCAGTAGGAGATCTTGGAAAATGCTAACTTTAGTCTGATAGCACTGAAAGCGAATGTCCCACCCTCCCTGCAATCGCCGTCCAAAGCCACGCCCCCTGAACGCAATACGCTCACAGACCAGAATACCAGAGACAACATTACAATAGGCTACATCAGTGGTTCCCAATTCCAGTCCTCGTACCCTAGCATCCAGACGCTGCACAGCGCAAAAACCGTGAATGCGAAGTTAAGTAAACTTTAATGTATTTCTCCTGCACAGGGAGTAGGGAGCAATGAACACTGTGTAGGATCATATCGATCGGAACACAGTTCTTGCAAGTAGCTCACTTCTAACAAGCTGGTTATCTGAATCGGGTGTGTTAACTAAGCGATACATGCAAAATATGCAGAGCGCGAGGACTGGAATTGGGAACTGCTGGGCTACATCATGTGTCATTCACCGGTGAGAAAACTTTATAGTACAGTTAGTAAAAGTACTACAATACTAAGGAAGATCGGGTTGTTGATGTTTGTCTGCCATTCTCGCTCTGTCTGCACAGTGTGTGTGAACGCGCTGATGATGTATCCTGTCTGCGCGAACAGGGTGCGCAGAGGTATGCAAATACTTATGTTTACAGACAGGTAGAAAAGCCAATTAAAACGCTCGGACTGAGCGTTTTGATTGGACGAACATTTCTTGGTCCTATGCCTTCCACAGAATATATAAATACAGATAAATACATGTAGACCACTTAACTTAATGATTGCTATCGGGATGTGAAGAGACTTTCAACCACCATAACAAAAAATGTTTCTGAAGACAATCACCTATTGCACCTTTAAATTAAACATACTCCACTAGGTCATTTAAAGTTTTGGAAAAGCCACTGCGTTTGTGGTTTTATCAAGGCAGTCTAGGTGGTATACTCACTGAGCCCAGGTCTTTATCATTGTAGAAGAGATGGGGAGTCAACAAAGAGTTCAGCAGGTGAGACAGGCAACAAAGCAGGGTGGGGAGAGACAGCTGGTCAGCGAGCACACATTTGGCCTGGGCCGTGGTGTTGGCTTACAGTCTCGCCCAATCCCATGCCTGCCTAGCAGACACGCAAGCCAGCCCGCTCCCTCATTCAGCCAGAGATCTCCAGGACATCTGGGAGTTTGAAAGGAGAAAAGATTTGTGAAAGTCGATCTTTTAAAAGGGGGAAGTTGGCCGGTGCTTTAAAGACAAGTGACAAATGAAACCTCTGCTTTTATGCTGGCATTGCATTTAGTAAATAGTGGTGCTGCCTGAAGTGGAGTCTAAAAGCTAGGCCTTAAGCCTAGGATTTCAAGAAAAACATGGAATGGCTAAATGAATGCAGTTGATTCAGAAGTTATTTTGACTACCATATGACATGTGACACTCTTTAACCATTTTCATAATTCTGTCTTGTTTTTTTTGTAGGGAAAATGTGTAACATCAACATTGATGAATGTGCCATCAACCCCTGTCACAATGGTGGAACCTGCGTTGATGGAGTCAGTGGCTTTACATGTCTGTGCAGAGAGGGGTATCATGACCCGACCTGCCAATCACAGCTCAACGAATGCCTTAGCAACCCCTGTATTCATGGACACTGTGAAGACAAAGTCAATGGGTGTGCATTATTTACATACATACACTGCCATATGAAAAGTTTGGGGACAGTAAGATTTTTTGTTAAGAAATTAATATTTTTATTTGGCAAGGATGCATTAAATTGATCATAATTGTAAAGTGATTTTTTTTTACATTTACAATGTTACAAAGCATCTCTATTTTGAATAAACGCTGTTCTTTTGAACTTTATTTATCAAAGAATCTCTGCTTTGAACACTGATAATTACAAGAAGTCTCTTAAGCAGCAAATCAGCATATTAGAATGATTTCCGAAGATTCTGTAGATAATATAAACATAAATTATGTCACCCTGCTAGAAAAACCAAGTACCAATACCAGTTTAAAATTGGTTTTTGCATGATCAATATGATCAAGATGGCATATTGGATCCAACCCCCCTGAAAACAAACATAGCTTAAACCAGCTTATGCTGATCTGGCTGGTCTTTTGACTAGTTTTAGAATAGGTTTGGCACTTTGGAGACCTTATACCAGCAAACCAGCTCAATTCAGCTTAAGATCTGATGTTTTGTTCTAGACCAGCTAGGACCAGCCAGAAACCATGTAAAACAGATCTCGTTTCTTACAGATATAACTGTATTTGTGACTCTGGCTGGAGTGGTGTCAACTGTGACATCAATAACAATGAGTGTGAGTCCAACCCCTGTATGAATGGAGGCACCTGTAAGGACATGACCAGCGGCTACGTCTGCACATGCCGCGCTGGCTTCAGCGGTTCGTATCATTTATTCTGCAAATGTATTGTAACTATGTGGTATGCCCTCTTGACCCCCACTCAAACACACAGTGTCTTTCTAACATTTGATTATAGGTCCCAACTGCCAAACAAATATCAATGAATGCGCCTCCAACCCTTGCTTGAATCAAGGAACCTGTATCGATGACGTGGCTGGATACAAATGCAACTGTTTGCTGCCTTACACTGGTATGAGTTTAGCTTTATTCGTGACATTTTGAGATTGTTATTTGTGGATTGTAATACTTTTCACCAGCATGTAGTATGTGACTGTTCAGCTGTTTAAACCAGTTTGAGAGTTTGGGAGTTGATGAAACGCTACTAATCAACTAAATCATAAAAAAGTAAAGCTATTTTATTTGATTCATTTTATTAGTTTACCTGTATTTTATCAGTTTACATCAGAGAGCTGTGAACATGCAAATGGGTTGTTAAACTATTGAAATATTAACTCAAAATCTCAGGGGGGATTTCAAGTACAAATTTGACTTCAAAGGGATTCGAGTGACAGAAATGTTTAAGAATGTCTGATGTAAACTTTTTTAAGTACTGATAGAAAAAAGATCTCTTCTGGTTACATATAAAATATATTTTTAAGTAAGTGTTTTATTTTTTAAAGACCATGATGACATTCTGACAATTAGCTTTCTTTCCTGTGTTGATGTATTTCCCATTGAAACAGGAAGTTGTGATGGGTTATTTCTTGTAAATAGCCAATAGCCTTTAGTTTAAGACATAAACATGAACAGTGATTTGCTAATTAAAGGAAGGATTCTCATTCTAGAAGCATTTTATTAAACACATTTTCAGATACGCCTGAAAGTGCAAAATTATTTATCAATATTTTTAGTGCACTTTCATGAAGAAAACCTTCTGAAGTTTTTTTTTTATCTATAGAATATTCTAAAGTACATTTTGACAAATTTTAAGAAATTTTATTTATTTATTAGCTGAATAATTAAAAGCCTGAAAAACAAAACAAAACTTTTTTGTACCTTTTTGATGGGGTCTTTAAATGGCTTTAGTGCGGCTATTACTTTTTGATAGATTTTGCTAGTTTTACTATACTTAAACCACTTTAAATTATGAGTAGTTTGTATTACAATGTCAAAGTCAGGAACAACAGATGCTCCTCCATCAATCTAGTTCCAGACTGTTGACAGAGGCCCCTCAAGAGCCCTACAAGTATCTCTGTTGACAATACAGGAAAATGTTTTCAACAGACGACACATTCTTTCCTCTCAATGTGTTATTTGACAAAACAGATAATGATGTTCTGCCTCTGGAACAGAAATCATATTAATTCCCAGTGACTATCTTTTTGGAAAAATCCACACAGCATTATATCAAGAATAACAAAAATCTAGTCGTACCAGGGTGGGAACAGTAGCCTGTCATGTTTCCTGTTTGCCCTACTTCCTCTCTCACAGAAACGCAAATGGCCAGACAATGGCAGGAAAACCTGCTGGCTTCCTGCAGGGGCCGGCCGTCGTGGAAACAGTTAGGCCAAATGTGCTTTGCTTTGCTAGGACTGACAGTCTTATCTCCAACAGAGAAAAGAGGAATTGGTACAGAACCTGTACTGAAACATAGTGTCACCTTCTAAATTTTTAGGCCTTCATAGAGGAAGAATGTCTCTTAAGAACATCTTAAATGCAAAACACATACTGAATGCCAAAACAATGTGGAGTTTTTCTAATGCTTCAGGTTTTTTAATATATTTTATCTTCCAGGTGAGAACTGTGAAACCCTGTTGGCCCCATGTAGCCCTAAACCCTGTAAGAATGGAGGCGTGTGTAAGGAGTCCGAAGACTATGAGAGCTTCTCTTGTGTGTGTCCTGAAGGATGGCAAGGTACAAAATTCACAAACTAACTAGAAATTATATCCTAGCCTCAATATTATGCATAACTACATTCATACTTTGTGCTCTACCTCAATTGTAGGCCAAACGTGTGAGGTGGATATCAACGAATGTGTCAAAAACCCTTGTCGAAATGACGGCATCTGTCAAAACTCTATTGGCAGCTACAAATGCAGTTGTAAATCGGGCTACACAGGCCGCAACTGTGAGACAGACACTGACGACTGCAAACCCAGTGAGTGTCCCATTTCAGCCTTAGTACAGTCTAGTTGATCTTGCCTTGATGTCTAACCCCGTCCTATTCCTGTAGACCCTTGCAGTAATGGTGGCTTCTGCAAAGACGCTGTGAACGCCTTCAGTTGCACCTGCCTACCAGGTTTCCGGGGGAGCAGATGTTTGGAGGACATTAATGAATGTGACAGTAACCCATGTAAAAACGGCGCGAACTGCACGGATTGTGTGAACAGTTACACTTGTACCTGTCCACCTGGATTCAGTGGGATTCACTGTGAGAACAACACACCTGATTGTACTGAGAGGTAACAACAGCAATCTTATTTGTATCAGTTCTTAAGTGTAAAAATAGTGACCCTTCACAGTCACTGTTTTAGCTGCAACAGAAAACTCTTACAATCAAGAGGCAACAAGACAAACACATATCGACGAAGCAGTAACAGATATGGACCACAAAACAATTGCCCAACCTAAAAATTCAAACCCTATATGCCATTTCTGCACAACAGTAGAGGTGCAAGCAAACATGCTGTTTTCACAAATATAAAACTCTTACAAATACTTAAGAATTTAAGTAATTGCCATCACATGAATAAATTATATTTTAAAATAGAAAACAGTTATTTTAAATTGTAATAATACTTCACAATACCACCGTGTTTCTGTATTGTTGATTAAATAAATGTAGTCTTTGTAAGAATAAGAGACCTCTTTTAAAAACAAAGCAAAAAAAAAAATAAAAAATCTGACATGAAAAGATATTTCAACATTATTGCTCTATACAACATGGCTATCATGGGAACACTGATCCCAGCTCAGTTTTCAGAGTCTCGTTGTTACAGTCTAGCCTTGTCAGTCAACCGATCTACCTCATGGTAAAGTGTACCAGAAAAAAAGCCTCTAGCACTTTTTCCTCCTCTGTTGTCCATTAGTGCCCCCTCTGGTAAACAAAAGGACAATGCAACTATAGAGTCATCACACACCTTTATATATTACTTAAAAAACTACAGGATGGTAAATGAATGTAGTAAATAAGACTGATAATCATAATTATTTTTTCAAACAGCTCTTGTTTTAATGGCGGCACATGTGTGGATGGCATCAACAGTTTCACTTGCCTGTGCCCAACGGGGTTCACTGGAAACTACTGCCAGCATGACATCAACGAGTGCGACTCCAGACCCTGCATGAATGGAGGCACCTGTCAGGACAGCTACGGCACATACAAGTGCACCTGCCCTCAGGGATACCATGGCCTTAACTGCCAGGTAACAAATCAAACGTTTAGGCAGCATGTGACATGGACAAAACTTAGCATGTATCCATCATACATTCATTGCTTATAGTGTTTCCTTGTTGATTCTGTAGTATAATTCAAAAATTTGCTGAAAAGTTATAAAATTAAATGAATATTTAATTATCACAATATTCCCTAAAATATATATACTAACATTTTTTTAATACATTTCTATTAATTCCACTTCTTTTAAGTAGTAGATGCCAGTAATTTAAAAATGGAGGCCTATTACTTTATATATTGATCTGTCCCTAATTCACATCAGCATTTATTTTAGAAAATGGACAGGAGCAGTGTTATTTTGTACAGTTTTACAATATTAAAGTTCCCTTTCAGTCAGTCACGTTCTACGTTACGTCAGTCGTGACTGACGAATTGGGATCTCGCCCGAGAGCCCAATCACCTTCGAGTGTAAACTAAACAAGACAATGACAGTTGGCGTGCGTGTTTCGCCATGCGCACCCCGACCCGCAGCGTGGGTATAAAAGGAGAGTGCGTGCAAATGCACATCAGCTTTTCGCTTCGGAGCAGAGCCTTCTCAGGATGAATCTCCGCGAGTGTTTGGAAGAAACAGCTGGCGGTGGTGTTACGGCGCGTAACACCAACGCGTTAATACCTCCTCATTAAACAGGGTGGGTATCCCCCTTGCCATGCCCCGCTCTAGCTCTTCCGGTTCTCTGAGGGCTACTTCGGTTCATGGTCAGGGAGACCTGAGGGTTACGGTGAGAGCTTACCCGTCGAGTACGTCTCCGCGGGCCTCTCATTCCGCAAGCATGGCGCACCACCTGGGGTTTCCGGACGAGTGTGCTGGATCCTCGGACAGGGCGGGGTCCAGCATCTTGTGTGGGACACAGGCAGAGGACAGGATGTCGATCGCTGCATCAGAGGGCGAGCTAGGCTCTGGAGATGAGGATTCGACTGCGCTGCCACCGTCAGGTAGAGTGGCGTTGCCCGAGTCAGATCCAGAGCTGACCGCTATGCTTTCCCGGGCCGCCGAGAGTGTCGGGCTGCACTGGAGGCCTCCTCCTTCTCCCGAACGCTCGAGACTGGATGATTGGTTCCTGGGCATTGGTGGTCAAGGAGCGCCACCTATGGCTGACCTTGGCGGATATGAGGGAGGTTGACAAGCATCGCTTCCTGGACTCCCCCATCTCCCAGGCCGGCCTATTCGGTGAAGAGGTGGAGGGCTTTGCCCAAAAGTTCTCCGCCGCGCAGAAGCAGGGCGCCCTCCTGCTGCCTCCACCTCTGCTCCGGCGCGGCCACAACAGCAGCCTTCACAAAGGCCGTCCCCCTCTCCTTTCGCCAATGGGCAGCAGGGTCCGGTTCAGGGACGCTATGCCTCCTCACGAGCCCCCTGCCCAGCTATGGAGCCAGGTAAGTGGTGCGCCGCACACTCAGACCCCACCCTCGGACGCACGGCCTCCCGGGTTGGGTGCCTGTGTTCCACCTCGCTGCCCCACTGCAGGTACGTCGGTGGTTTCCCTGGTCCCGCTAGTTTGGTCGCTGGGGGCCTGGTTAGCGCTCCCCAGGCCGTCTCGCTGGCTCATGAGAGCCATCAGACTCGGCTACACAATTCAATTGGCCCGGTGCCCTCCCAAGTTCAGGGGCATTCGGTTCACCTCGGTGCTGGACAAGGATGCTCCTGTCTTGCGTGCAGAAATCGCGGTCCTGCTGGCGAAGGACGCGATACAGCCGGTCCCTCCAGCTGAGATGAGGTCAGGGTTCTACAGCCCGTACTTCATCGTACCCAAGAAAGACAGTGGGTTACGACCGATCCTGGACCTGCGCGTACTGAACCGGGCCCTTCACAAGCTCCCGTTCAGGATGTTGACGCAGAAACGCATCTTTCAGTGCATCCGTCCTTTCGATTGGTTCAACTGGGAAAAGAGCAAACTCTCTCCGGTGCAGAGGATCTCTTTTCTCGGCATGGAGCTGGACTCGGTCAACCTCTCAGCACGTCTCTGAGTAGAGCGTGCGCAGTCGATGCTGAACTGCCTGGGGTCCTTCCAGTGCAAGACGGCGGTTCCACTGAAACAATTTCAGAGGCTCCTGGGGCATATGGCATCCGCAGCCGCTGTCATGCCGCTCGGGTTGCTTCATATGAGACCGCTTCAGCGTTGGCTTCACGACCGGGTCCCGAGATGGGCATGGCGACACGGCACTTACCGGGTTCCTGTTGCCCCGTTCTGCTGTCAGATCTTCAGCCCGTGGGCAGATCTTGCCTTTCTTCGGACAGGGGGGTCCCTTGTAGGGCAGTAGACGGTAAGTCTTTGGGGAAGCACGACTTAGTCATCAGGTTTCTCAGAGGGGCAAGGAGGTTAAATTCTCCGCACCCTCACCTGTTACCCTCTTGGGATCTCCCCTCGGTCCTGGCGGCCTTGAAGGGGGAGACCTTCGAGCCTCTGCAGTCAGTAGAGCTTAAGTTTCTGTCGTTGAAGACAGTGCTCCTCACCGCATTGGCCTCGGTCAAGAGGGTAGGGGACCTGCAGGCATTTTTGGCGTTTTCCATACGGATCCCAATTCGTCAGTCACGACTGACGTAATGTAGAACGTGACTGACTGAAAGGGAATGTGTCGGTTACTTGTGTAACCCTCGTTCCCTGAAGGAAGAAACGTAGACGTTACGTCCCGTCGCCACAGTTGCTGTACCAATGCTGTACTGCTGTACGGCCGGGGCACGTAGTCTCGGCTCCTCAGCGAAAAACTGATGTGTGTTTGCACGCGCTCTCCTTTTATACCCGCGCTGCGGGGCAGGGTGTGCGTGGCGAAACACACACGCCAACTGCCATTGGCTTGTTTAGTTTACACTCGAAGGTGATTGGGCTCTCGGGCAAGATCCCAATTCGTCAGTCACGACTGACGTAACGTCTCCGTTCCCTCCTTCAGGGAGAGACGTTACCTGTCCCTTTTCTTTGTTTGTAGCCCTATGATTTTAAAGGGATAGTTCACCCAAAAATGAAAATTTGATGTTTATCTGCTTACCCCCAGGGCATCCAAGGTGTAGGTGACTTTGTTTCTTCAGTAGAACACAAACGAAGATTTTTAAGTCAAACCGTTGCAGTCTGTCAGTCTTATAATGCAAGTGGATGGGAATCACGGCTTTGAGAGTCAAAAAACATACACAAACAAAACCAAATTAAACCCTGCGGCTTGTAATGATACATTAATGTGTAAAGACATGAAATGATCGGTCTGTGCAAGAAACTGAACAGTATTTATATGTTTTTTACCTCTGATTTTCACCGCAATGTCCGAACTGTCCTAGCATTACCGCCACCTATCTCTCAAGTGGACCATTGACACTCCTAATTGAGATTGTAGATAGAGTGGCAATGGTCCATTTGAGAGATAGGTGGCGGTAATGCACTTATAAGTCTGCGATCCGTCAGGCGCAGCCTGTTGTGAATGCGCTCAGGTTTGTGTATGTTTTTTTTACTCTCAAAGCCGTGATTACCATCCACTGACATTATAAGATTGATAGACTGCAACGGTTTGACTTAAAAATCTTCGTTTGTGTTCTACTGAAGAAACAAAGTCGCCTACATCTTGGATGCCATGGGGGTAAGCAGATAAACATCACATTTTCATTTTTGGGTGAACTATCCCTTTAAGGCATCGAAGGAGCACACTTGATGTGAGAGGAATGTCAATATAAATATATATATAGAACTTAATTTCTTTATATTAAACTAATTATACCAGTAACATTTACAAATAATATGCATGGATTTCAATTGTAATTTTAATCATATAGACACATTTCCTTTATTTCCCATTTTTCCCATTTTCTAAAACCAGTCTAATTAGAAAATACATTTTTAGTTTTCTCTGTATTTTTATACTTTAGAATATCACATTGTTAGCTTGGCAACAAACTAACATCAAACACTGTTATAGTCAATAGAATGCATAGTATAATTTAGCCTGGCCACTAGTTCCAGAAGTATTTTTGCCTTTGAGATTTTGTTAGTCTTTGTTAAACAATTAAAAGCTATGAGCCAAACGGTGTTTTGAATATTATTTATAGATTATTTTATTTTATAATATATTATATAATGTTTTATATATATTTATATTTTTTGCTTGTTTTAAGTAGTATATTATTTAAAAATAAATTAATTGCGATCTATCCTTAATTTATGTCAGCACTTTATGTCAAATACAATTAAATTAAAATGAAATATTTATTATGACTTTAAGAGGTTTGAACTGATGGATGCAAGAGTTAAAATGTGAACATTGAATGAATTCTTGTCTTGCAGGAGCTGGTGAACTGGTGTAAGCCGTCTCCCTGTAAGAATGAAGGTATCTGCAGACAGAGCGGCACTAGGTACAGCTGCCAGTGTCAGACAGGCTGGACTGGTTTATACTGCGATGTCCCCAGCGTTTCTTGTGAGGTGGCCGCCAAACAGCAAGGTAGGTTTGTTTGTATGTGCCTACCTACATACAAAAAAAATATGTTTGCAGTTCGGGCCAGTTCAGTGTTTCACAAATCTGCTGTGATGTTTGCTTCTACCACTTTTAGGTGTAGAGGTGGCCCGGCTGTGTCGTAACTCTGGCCAGTGTCTGGATGCTGGAAACACACACTATTGTCACTGTCAGGCTGGATACACGGGCAGCTACTGTGAGGAGCAGGTGGATGAATGCATTCCCAATCCTTGCCAGAACGGAGCAACCTGCACCGACTACCTGGGCGGCTATTCTTGTGAAGTAAGTGAAGAAAACCTGGTGGTTAGGGACAGAAGTGACTGTAGAAGAAGACATTTTAGGTTAATGCCTGCTAAATCTCCCTTCTTTGTAACAGAATTGCTTGTTTGGCAAAGAAGGAAGAAACCGCCAAGTAAACAGAAACAGGCTTGTTTTATGTTTGGCATTAATTCGCCTCGCTCCTTCTCTCGTTTCTTGAAGTGCGTGCCAGGTTATCATGGAGTGAACTGCTCTGATGAGATCAATGAGTGTCTGTCTCAGCCCTGCCAGAACGGAGGCACATGCATCGACCTGATCAATACCTACAAATGCTCCTGTCCTCGGGGAACACAAGGTCAGCTATCACTTCCTCCTCTGTTTTGCTCTTTTTGCCCATTCCACACTTCATTAATTAGGGCTTAACTGTTATCAGCAGGCTTAGACGTTTCTCTCTGATTGATGTAGTCATGCTTAATTACAGCTCATAGATGGACTTTTATTTTATAAAATGGATAGAAACTTTGTGTTATATTACCTCTTTGTCTGTATCTCTATGATTTTAAGGCATCATGGAAGCGTAAGAGAAATGTCAAAATATATAGATTTTAATTTATATATTTGATTTAACTTTTAGCAAAATGTATTATTACATTTTTATTTAAAGTAATTTTAGTTATATTTCATTTTCTTCATATTATAATTTATATTTATATTATAGAATTAGATTTAATTTATGTAATTCATATTATATAGACACATTTCTCAATGTAATTAATCATGATTTATCTACAATGAATCTAATTAAAACAGAAGTGTTTATGTTTGCTCTGTATTTTTATGTTTAGAGTATCTCATTGTTAGCTTTGTAACATGTTAACATCCATCTCTATTATAGTCAATAGAATGCTTTTTCAGTGGCATTGGTTCTGGAAGTATTTTTCCCATAGGGATTTTAAAAATGTCTTAGTTAAACAGTTAAAAGCCATAAGCCAAACAAACCAGCTACAGGATGAATCACAACATTACAAACCATGACTGAAGCAAATAACTGTTCAAATATTACAAACCATGACTTAAGCAAATAACTGTTCAAATATTAGAAAAAAGACAAAGGTGCAAAAATGTGCAGTAAGAACTTCAATCCTATGAAGCAATGCCAATGACAATAAAAAAAATTATATATATAATTTGCACCGCCAATGAAAAAAAAAAAAAAAAAGTGTATATATATAATTGGTTCTGAACCATTCGGTACGCATTACAAACTGAACGATTCGTTGTCCTAATCCTATTACATTACAAGGTAGCCCAAACGACATAACAGCCCCCAAAGAAAAACACGCTGCTCCAGTCAGGCATAGGCTGGACTAGCTTGTTCGTTGCAATATGGCTAGTAACTAGGGCTGGACAATAATTCAATATCAATATATATGGCAATATAATTTTTTTCAATAACGGTGATATGATTTTGAAACACATTTCCGATATTTCGATATACATTACCAGTGTTTCTAAAAAATGCTGGGTTAAATACAGCCCAGCGCTGAGTAAAATATGGGTAATGTATTTTTTTTTTTTTTTAGGAATTCCACTATTAAACATGATTATATAAAAAATAAGTTTCAATAATGCATGCAGATGGCTACAACAAAAGCATAAATCATTGATTGACATCCTCATAGCTCATAGGTCAGGTTTTAAAGGTTTATAAAGTTATTGTTTATTCCATTATGGAGAAAATTAAAGGTAATGTTATTCTAATTTTACAGTAGCCCCAACTGTTGCACTCTATTTTATTTAAGTCATGTTTCTTCATTCCAAATTAGTCAGTAATGACTATTATGCTGCTTTAGAGGACAGCTGTCTGTAGGCAGTATTCAATCAAGGCAGCTCACTAGGTTTTGTAACATTTAACAAATAACTACAGCCTGATAAATTCAAAAGCAATTTTACTGTATAGATTTGCAATAAAAAATCAGTATACTATGATACATACATTTTACAACTTGTGTATGTCTCATTTAGGGTTTTACAGGCTCAACCTGCGAGTATGACGCTCATGCCTGTGGGAGTCTCCACTGTAAAAATGGCGGTACATGCGTTTCTGGACACAAGAGCCCCAAATGCCTGTGCACCCCTGCCTTCACTGGTCCTGAGTGCCAGTATCCCACTGAGGGTCATTGCACTACCAATCCATGCTACAACGGAGGCACGTGCGAGTATATCTCAGAGGCCCCATACTACCACTGTATCTGTCCTACCGGCTTCAATGGCCTCTTCTGCCACATCCTGGACTTCAGCTTCCCAGGTGGCCCTGCTCGAGATATCACACATACTCCAGAAGTGACAGTGAGATGTGAGATAACAGAGTGTGAGAATAAGAAAGGCAATAAGATCTGTGACAGCGCATGTAATAATTACGCCTGCGACTGGGATGGAGGGGACTGCTCGCTGAACTTCAATGACCCGTGGCAGAACTGTTCGGGCACGCTGCAGTGCTGGCTCTATTTTAATAACGGGAAGTGTGATGAACAGTGTCACAACGCTGGATGCCTCTATGACGGATTTGACTGCCAGAGACTGGAGGGCCAGTGCAAGTGAGTTCTATTTGAGAATTTTTACACAAGTTTCAGGGAAAGGTACAAGTTGTACATTTGTAATCACAGGAAGCTTTAATTGGAAATCACAATTTTTAAACTCCCAGGCAATTTCTCTTCAGCAGCTCTGCAAGAGTCATGGAAATAAAAAATTTAAATCTTAAAGTTATGCAACATTTTCTATTGAAACTCAGCTCTTAAGTTTTGTTTTCTCTAGAATATTTTAAGTTATTATTTTTTCTACATTTCTGGTTTTATTAAAATCCAGTCTTACCCATTTTTTTTAAAGAATTAAAAATTTCTACTATATGAAATATACTATATATACTTTTGACACAGCTATAGAATTTCTGAGTGAAAATTATTTTACTCAAGTCAGTATTTTGTAGTAAAATATGTAATTAACTTTTAGCTAATTATAATTCAGAAACAGTTTCTTCAACATTGTTATTGATGAAATCCACCAGTTAGATGAACTGACTACTAAATAAAAACTAGAACTATAAAAAAAAGTCATTATTTAAAATAAAATTACTGAAATAACATTTACTGAAATAAAGTTAACTGTATATATATCTATACAGTATATATATACTGTATATATTATTTCATTTCAGAAAACCTTTCTCATTTTTTTTTAATTTGTTGTACTAAAATAAAAAATTAAATAAAAACAGGCATTTTTCAAAGAAAATAACAAAAACACCCAACAAAATGACTAAAATTTGAACTAAAATGAAAATGAAAATGGAAAATATAAAAATAAATTCTTATTTATAATATTAATGACAACTGTAATAGTATCTCAATCATACACCATTTGAGAATGAAAACTAAGACTATGATTATCTTTTAGCTTAATGCTAGTTGGTCAAACTAGTTCTCAAGACACATAATAGCTGTTTATGCAGCTGGTCCTTGGTCTTAAATCACTCTGGTGTATTTTTGTTACATGGTAGCTTGGCCAAGATGGTTTACAGACTTGTAGTCCAGCTCTCAAGACCATTTAGAAATCCTGTAAAACCCAGTATATATATACTGTATATATTATTTAATTTCAGAAAACCTTTCTCATTTTTTTTAATTTGTTGTACTAAAATTAAATAAAAACAGGCATTTTTCAAAGAAAATAACAAAAACACCCAACAAAATGACTAAAATTTTAACTAAAATGAAAATGAAAATGGAAAATATAAAAATAAATTCTTATTTATAATATTAATGACAACTGTAATAGTATCTCAATCATACACCATTTGAGAATGAAAACTAAGACTATGATTATCTTTTAGCTTAATGCTAGTTGGTCAAACTAGTTCTCAAGACACATAATAGCTGTTTATGCAGCTGGTCCTTGGTCTTAAATCACTCTGGTGTATTTTTGTTACATGGTAGCTTGGCCAAGATGGTTTACAGACTTGTAGTCCAGCTCTCAAGACCATTTAGAAATCCTGTAAAACCAGAATCAGAAGCTTTTTAGCTCTGTTTTCGAGAATGAATGCTATTTCTAAACTCTGCTCTCCTCTCTTACAGTCCACTCTATGACCAGTATTGCAAAGACCACTATTCAGATGGCCACTGTGACCAGGGCTGCAATAACGCAGAGTGTGAATGGGACGGGCTGGACTGTTCCAGCAACATACCCGAGAAGTTAGCTGCTGGACTCCTAGTTGTGGTGGTCCACATTTTACCCGACCAGCTCCGAAACAACTCCTTTGGATTTCTACGGGAGCTCAGCCGGGTCCTCCACACCAACGTTGTTTTCCGGCACGACCGCAAGGGAGAGGAAATGATCTACCCTTATTACGGCAACGAGCAGGAGCTGAGAAAGCACAACATCAAACGATCACTAGATGGCTGGAACGATGCTTCCAGCAACGTCTTGAGCTCCGTAAAAAGCAGCATTTACAATATAGTGGTGGAAGGAGGGAGAAAACGCAGAGAACTGGATGAGATGCAGATCAAAGGGTACGCATGTGACAGTCGAAGCCTCGTATGCTTTAAAAATGTGTTTGAATAAAAATCAATAAAATCATGCTTTTGATTTCCATCAGCTCGGTGGTATATCTGGAGATTGACAACCGCCAATGCTACCAACAAACCAACGAGTGCTTCCAGAGCGCCAACGACGTGGCGGCTTTCCTCGGTGCCCTGGCTTCCAGCGGCAATCTAAATATGCCTTATGTAATCGAGGCCGTCACAAGTGAGTGTTTGGCACGAGCATTGTCGTGTGCCTCACGTCTTCCCATAATGCCCTTAATCAAGACTAGGCCTCCCATCTTACTCAATGTATTCAGCACCAACCCCCCCTCCCCAACCTTTAACCCCACCACCTCCTACCGCGGATTACAGGGATCACTTTGAAGTTTGTACGTTTCTTCCATATAACAATGAAGCAAATGTTCTTTGTGCATTAGACAGACTAAACAATCAATGCGGCAGTCTGAGGGCAGATCCGTTGGCTCCAGGCACCAAAAATAGTTAATTGATGCAAATTATGTCAACTCATTTGGCCCAACAAGACACTCTCACAAACGCGCATGCAGCCCTATCATGGTTTGAATCTAAAATGATGGGGGCTGCTGCAACCTTAACCTTGTTGAATGTACCAGGACTTAATGCATCTCCAAGGGTTTAGGTGAGCAGAGTTTATCATTTCAAATCGTTAGTGGAGAGAGCATGAAAAAAGAGAGGAGAAAGATTGATCGGGAGTGTGCTAGAAGTTGGGAGTCTTTGTTATCTCGAAAATCCTAATAAATCCTTCGTCTTTACAGCTTAAAGTGTGCGCGGTAATTTGAAGTTCATTAATCCCTCCCTTTTTTCCCCTTAAAGAAGAACTGGTAAAGTTGTCTCCTGGTACCCTGGGCTGAGAAAGGGGAGAGGAGGTGTTCTTTCTTTTCTCTTTTTTCTGTCCTCTTCGTTTTCTTATTTGCCAGCTCCTTCTTTTTGATGAGAAGCAGTTAGCAATTCTGATTACTACGAACACGTGCCTTGCCGTAGTTTGTCCGCCTAATCGTCTTCCAATTTGTGCCTCATCGTTGCGTGAGGAACACATTCTTGTCTCTTCTGTGGGTTTGACATGTCAACTGTGCTTCCTGTAGCAGGTAAGATTGATGGACCGTCATCTATAGAGCTCTATCCAGTCTACGTGGTTCTGGCAGGACTGGCGCTGCTGGCCTTTGTCGCCGTGGGAATGGTCGCGTCCCGTAAACGCCGCCGGGAACACGGTCAACTCTGGTTTCCGGAGGGTTTCAAGACCAGCGAGCCCAGCAAGAAGAAGAGGAGGGAGCCGGTCGGCGAAGACTCCGTCGGTCTGAGGTCAGTTGCGTTATCTTTGGGGGTCGAGTTTGAAGGGACAAACTATTATGGAGGGAAAGTTTTTCATTTTAAGTAATGATCATCTGTTGAGTTTAATTTAATTAACTAAGTGGTTTTAGGAAGAAGGTGGAGGTTGATTACCAATGATGGCTTTTGGTGTTGGAGAACAGTCTTTAAAGTATTAAAGTAATGGATTATTTTTCTAAAAACAGGCCACTTAAGAACTGTTCAGACATTTCATTAATGGATGACACCCAGAATGAATGGGGAGAAGAGGAACCATCAGACACCAAACGCTTCAGGGTGAGCAGAGCAACACATTTCTCACTGACAAGATATTCACATACTATAGAAGTGTCTTACAATTAGTACTCTTGCACTAATTAATAATATTAATTCAAATGTCATCCTCTTATTTTAGTCTGAGGAGCAGGTGATGCTTGATTTAGACCATCAGCCAGATCACCGGCAGTGGACGCAGCAGCACTTGGATGCAGCAGATCTACGCATCCCATCCATCGCTCCCACACCCCCTCAGGGCGAGATAGAGAATGACTGCATGAATGTCAATGCCCGAGGACCAGGTTAGGCATTGTTGTATAGTTAATTTTTTTCCCCATGTAATAATGGCTTTGTTATTGGATATTGGTGACTTTTTAATTAATATTTAATACAATAATTTAATATATTTAAATGTAATTGTAATAAAATGTTATTCATGCAAATTTAAATTCTATTTATAATAATATAATTTGATTATAATTAAATTAAAATATTGATATTAAAAATATTATAAAATTAATTTTATTCATTCAAAATTCTAACTTTATTATATTTGCTTTAAGTTATATATACAAAAATAAAAAATGTGGCCTCATTGACTAGGTAATTTTTAGGTAGATAAATAGAATATTTTGGCTGATTATATTTTTGCTGGGAAATCATATTACTTGTCTGCGTAGTTCTAATTCTTTGCTTATGGATTACACCTGTTCTCCGGTTTACACATGATGTGTGTGCGCACGCTGTGGAGTGCTGGGATGAGGAACTGAATTGAGCTCTAAGTAGGAGTTAATGCTCAGGGCCCTTTGGGGAAAAGAATCCACTTCAAAGGCTCTGACTGAAAGCTGTAAACCCTGGGGACTGAGCACATTTTTACCAGCCTTACCGATTCATCCTGTGATATCATTCTGCTTACATGTGTTTTGTTAATTAAACTCTTTATGATATGCTCATCCTCTCTTTCTATAAGCACCCCCTGACAACACTTTAAGATTGTCAAAGGCAACATTCTTTTGCTCTCTCTCTTTGCGAGCAGTTTTTCCTTTTTTTTCCTCTTTGTGTGGATTGATGTTTTTAAATTGACCAAATCAGGCCTGATCTGGGAATAGCTATTCTTTTGAAGCCGAGAAGCCCCTGTCGAAGTCAGCAAAGAAAGCAGCTTCTCAGAGGTGATAATACTCTGTTTTACCAGCGGTTGAAATTTCAAAGCGCGGCCCTCGTCCCTGAGATTTACCAAACCTCCACACTTGATTACAATCCGTTATCAAAGCCATCTGGGGCGATTCAGAAAGAGAGTGCATCAAATCCAACTTCAATTTGTTTGTTTCTTTGCCGTTACTTTGGTCCATCACTTTGAGGAAAACATTTCTTTAGGTTTCAATTTTTTTTGCTCTTTCAGTGGACTTTCAGTGTTTTATCTTCAAATTGTATAGTAGAAATAACGAAGAAAACCTGAAATATGGAGAGAAAAAAATTCTAATAATAATGGAATTTAGAATTTGAAAAATGAATGTCGCCTTAAAGTCGTATAAATCTTGTAAACATAACATCTTCACTTTCTTTTTCCTTTCTAGATGGCTTTACTCCTCTCATGATCGCATCTTGTAGTGGAGGAGGGCTAGAAACAGGAAACAGCGAGGAAGAGGAGGATGCTTCAGCCAACGTCATCAATGATTTCATCTACCAAGGTGCCAACCTTCACAACCAGACAGACCGTACGGGTGAGACAGCCCTGCACCTGGCTGCCCGTTATGCCCGCTCAGATGCTGCAAAAAGGCTCCTGGAGGCCAGTGCAGATGCCAACATCCAGGACAATATGGGACGGACTCCACTACATGCTGCTGTGGCTGCAGATGCACAAGGGGTCTTCCAGGTATGTGAGGAAATACAGAATAATAATAAGGATGCTTAAAAGGGGTCCTATTATGCTTTTTCACTTTTTCAACTTTAGTTAGTCTGTAATGTAGCTGTTTGAACTTCTGCGAAGTTACGAAGCTCAAAGTCCAATTCAAAAGGAGATATTTTATTTAACAGAAATCACTTTTCAAAAACTTCAACGAACGACTCGTTTGGACTACAACACATATTTTCTGGGATTTGTGATATCACAAATATCGACGAATGGGACGAGACCTGGTTGAACTGCTCTAGAGAAGGCAACGAGTGTTATCACTATGTCGGAGATACGCTAGCTTTCCCAAGGCAGACAAACTTAGAGTGGTTACAGTCATCCGGGTTTAAATCGCGCTCAAATTGATTTGATATTGATGCAATATTTACACTGAAGCTCGCAGGCGGCCGCTATGGTAAGGGGCATGACATTTCCTGACCAGGCGCCGAGTTCTGCCAATCACAACACACACTGGCCCAGCTAACCAATCACAGCATATTTCGTATTTCAGAAGGCGGGCCTTCATTTGATACAGGAACCATTCGAGCCGGTCAAGCCAGACTGGGGAGAGAGGTGTTGTAATAATGTAAAATATGTGAAAAATAATGTGTTTTTCGAACAACCTAGTATGAGAGTCTGTTCTAGTACACCCCCAAAACAAAATCAAGACTTTGTAAAAGAGCATAATAGGACCCCTTTAACATTAGGCATTTCCACTGATTTCGGCATCATTATCTCTGTTTTCTGAAACATGTTCACTTTTGTCCTTATGCAGATTTTGATACGGAACCGTGCCACAGACCTGGATGCCCGCATGCATGATGGCACTACACCTCTGATACTGGCAGCAAGACTTGCGGTCGAGGGCATTGTGGAGGAACTCATCAACTGCCATGCTGATGTCAATGCCATTGATGATTCTGGTATGACTAATACACTGCCATACTCAAACACTGTCAAACATATTATTGTTATTAATTATTGTTAAATCTACAAGTTAAATCAGAAAACATTAAACCAAAAAAAAAAGTGTCCAGCAAAAACCAGGTGGCACCTCATGAAGTTGGTTGGGAGAAGATAAGATATACATTACCATTCAGTTTGGATCAGATTTTTTATTAATACTTTTATTTTGCATTCAATTTATGAATTTAATTCAAATCTAATTTAAAAAATGCGGTTCCTTTGCACTTTCTATTCATCAAAGAATCCTAAAAAAGTGTATCACAGCGTCCACAAAAATATTAAGCAGCAAAACTGTTTTCAGCATTATTAATATTAATAAATTATTCTTGAGCACCAAATCAGCTTATTAGAATGATTTCCGAAGGATCATGTGACACTGAAAACTCGAGTAATGATGCTTTGCTATCACAGGAATAATTACATTTTAAAATATATTAAAAAATTGTTATTTTAAATTTCACAATATTACTGTTTTTACTGTATTTTGTTCAAATACTTGCAGTTGAGCATAAGAGACTTCTTTCATTAAACACTGAAAATATTTGAGCAACCTCAAACTTTTGATGGCTAGTGTAAGTTTTGATGTATTCATATTGTTTGTCAGTACACAATCGACAATGTTTAATTTGATTTGTTTATTAATTTTTATGACTTTACTATTATTCTAAAATGTGTAAAATAGTAATAATTAAGAAGGAGTTGCTTTGTCCAAACATTTCACTGGTCACATATAATATGGTTAGATTTTACTGCTAATGTATACTAATTTGTTTTTAGATTTATTACTATTTTATCTCAATTACATATATTACTATTGTTGGTTTCTTAGTAAATGTAATTGAGCACATGCTGAAGCGGTTTCTGTTTGTGCTACAGGTAAATCTGCACTTCACTGGGCAGCCGCTGTGAACAACGTAGATGCAGCGATGGTATTGCTTAAGAACGGGGCAAATAAAGATATGCAAAACAATAAGGTAAGTAGCACTTTATTAGTTTGTATCACAAATAATGCTATGATATTTTTGAAATAACACGCTTCACATAATAGTCGTACTTACATAGTACAAAAACTTTTCATTTTTTCAAAATGCTCTTGGCTTACCAATTCTTTTCCCACGTTCAGGAGGAGACTCCTCTATTCTTGGCGGCAAGAGAAGGAAGTTACGAGACTGCTAAAGTTCTTCTCGAGCATTTCGCTAATCGAGAGATCACGGACCACATGGATCGGCTCCCACGGGATATCGCTCAGGACAGAATGCATCACGACATTGTGCGGCTCATCGACGAATACAACCTGGTCCGCAGCCCTCCCATGCACAGCGCTCCTTTCTGCACCACCCTCTCCCCACCTCTCTGCTCCCCCAACGGCTTCATGGGTAGCATGAAGCCCTCCGTACAAAGTAAAAAACCCCGCAAGCCAAGCGCAAAAGGCATAGGTTGCAAGGATGGCAAAGATATGAAAGTCAAGAAGAAGAAGGCACAAGATGGAAAGGGAAACTTACTAGACAGCTCAGCTGTGCTCTCGCCGGTCGATTCCTTGGAGTCGCCCCATGGGTACATATCTGACGTCGCCTCCCCACCCCTGATGACATCACCCTTTCAGCAATCACCCTCCATGTCGCTTAATCACTTACATGGTATCTCAGACACCCACATGGGCGTCAGCCATCTGGGAATGGGAAACAAGCAAGACCTGGCCCATATTCAGTTTGATCCGTTACCCCCATGTCTCACCCATCTTCCAGTGGCCGGATCTAACGGCTCAAACATCATGAACGGCCAATGCGAATGGCTCGGGCGGATGCACAATAGCATGGGTCCGCAAAATCAATTCGGAGGCATGAGGAACGCCTCAGGTCAGGCCAGCCTTCACCAAACCGGCCTGATGGCGTCTCTTCACAATGGCCGTCCCGTCACGCTGTCTCAGATGATGAACTATCAAAGCCTGCAGAACACACACCTCACCACGCAGCCGCATCTAATGCAGCAGATGCAGCAGAACATGCAACAGAGACCGCAGCAGACAAACATCCAGCTGCAGCACCAGAGCTCCAATCCACCCAGCCAGAACTTACTCAGCGGTGAGTTGGGTGGACCGGAGCTCCAGCAGAGCATGCCCATCCACACCATCATCTCCCAGGAGACCCAGCTGTTGAACCCATCTTCTCTGGGTCCCAGTATGGCGGGAACGCAGTTCCTGACGCCACCTTCCCAGCACAGTTACTTAGCCCCAATGGACGCCAACACCCCCAGCCACCAACTCCAAGTGCCTGACCACCCTTTCCTCACGCCGTCTCCGGGTTCACCGGACCAGTGGTCCAGCTCGTCGCCCCATTCCAACATGTCTGACTGGTCGGAGGGCATTTCCAGTCCTCCCACTAGCATGCAGTCGCAAATTGGACACATACCGGAGCAGTTCAAATAAAAAACAAAAAAATTGAAGGCACCATAAGCCTGCTCACTGAAGGTCTTTTATATGCCTCTTGTACTAACCATTTTTTTTTATTTATTGATATTTTGTTATTTATAGCTACTTCTTTCACAATTTATTTTCAAATTTGGGCACAAGAAATGATCTTAAAAATAATGAAGAAGAAGGAGGTAATTTTGTTTTTATGTAATACTATCGACCACAATACACTGTACTCAAATGTACACACTGGGTATTTATTGGTCTTAAAATATGCCTGTTTTTTATTTCAGTTAATCAGCCTTCATTTTTGTTTGATTAATTATACCTAATATTGTATAAATTTGTAAAATCGCAAAGTTCTTGTACGGGCATTGTAGAGAGCATGTTTTTATACAACAAACTTCAGTGTTAAAGTAGATAAAGTGTTGTTTGAAACAAGCTGCTTTTCCGTTACTAGAAGATGAATGGTTACATTTGTTTTGTGTTATTTCTTATATTTGTTATGATTAGGTTCTCATCTTTTTTTTATGCTACAAGGTTTATACTACAAATTAGTAGAGGTATTATAATTGAACATTTGTATAGTTCAAAGTGATTTGCTGTCTTTTCTTTTCTTTTCTTTTCTTTTCTTTTCTTGTATATTAAATTCCTGCATAAGCAGATTTCTAAACGTCCACTGTGAGTGTGGATGTAAAAGTGAGGATCTGAGCTTCTTACAGGAAATACTTGATATTGCCTTGTATGAAACAGGTTCCAGTATCAAGTGCTCTGTATCTTTTTCCTCCAATTTTGTAGAACTGGTCATGTGGCCAAAAGTGTCTGGGGTTTTATGGAGGTGTTTCAAATTGAACTGCTCTTTACTGTACTTCAGTTTTGTTACTTCGTTTGAGCCTATGGCTAATGTAAATAGATATATTGTATGCGTTTGTCATGTAAATAGGATTTTGTTTCAGAAATCTTAAGTGTGCCATGGAAATTCTAAATATTTTAATGCTACGTAGTTATGTTTTCTATCATATGCGGAACATATTTTTTCTCAGTATCACTGGGGTAGAGATAAACATAGTATAAAAAATGTATACACACAAATGATTAGAGGATATGACATTCAGAATAACATAATTAGATGATTTATGACTCACTATTTATTGTCCACCAATAGTTTTCCACAAAAATGAGTTAAAAGGTCCCCATAAAGGGAAATGGTGGTATCATATGTCCTCTTTAAGCCATCAGTACTTCCGAGTTCATCAGATTTGAACAGCACTGAGTAGCCTATTGTCTGTGAATGTTACCTGCAAATGTGTCGTTTACATGCAGAGTATTTTCTGTCAGTTCTACTGTCTGTACAAATTTCTTTGATTAATAAAAGATACCAATGTGTATTCAAATTTCAGTCTGCTGTAACGCTTTCTTTATGGCCTGTCTAGCTTATTTACCAAGCCTATTTCTTACACACTTTATTTTGAGCGATATCAAAGCAACTAAAAACAGATACATTGACGTAGCAAACATTAAAATGGTTTGATTTTGCCCCCTTATTCTATGCAAAGCTGGGTTTGAATATCAAAGAAACATCATTTTTTAAAAATATATTATGAAATTATTTACGGCATGAGCTAAACTTAAATGGGCATATCAACGGCTGGTAATGATTTTATTGCATTAGCCTGCAGCGCCATCTGCTGAAATGCTTGTGACTATCAACAGCGCCCTCTGCTGCTGAGAGGACAAACGCATGTAACGCAGTAAAAGCAGGAGTATTCACTCTTACCTACAGCGGGGGACAAACAGCCTTCAAATGTCCACTTTAGGTACTATAGGTACCAGTATAGGTATAGGGCTCATTGTGTGAGGCTCACCCATACAAATGTAGTTCTGGCCCCAACAACAGCTCTGTTACTACTGATAATTAATTAATTACACAGACCTTGAAATCCATGGGTCTGTTGTGATGACACAAGACTTAGCTAAATATTAATGAAAAGACATTGATAGTCATTCATTCTGATGCTGCTAAATAACCTCTGACCATCCTTTTAATAATTATGGTAATGGTTTTAGAACAATGTCTGTATATCAGTAGTTCAACCTCTTTGATTATTAAATATATCATGATTCATGCCAGTGTTCCCAACGCACTGAACTGTAGACCACTGTGTTACTTGTACAGTATGTGACACTGCACATAAGTGTTGAAACATGGTGCTTCTTTTAGACAATTTTCAACTTACCGTTCACCACCTTTCGAGTTGCAGCCAATAGAAAATTCACATGAAAAAAATCAAACAAATATGGAATAGAAACTGATTGTAGATACTCTAGATATACAGTGATTTACACAAAATAACGTCAAAGGCATATCATGACATTCAAGTAAAACATAATTTTTCTGCAAATCTATCTGACGTACACGTCAAAAGCAAATGTCGCCTAATGCACCTTCCACATGTTTACTGCTTTTTGTCAGACACTTTTGTTTTTTTCTTTCTTTCTTTCTTTATTTGCATCCATTATGACACTGTCACTTATGCTTACCAAAGCCACATTTAATCAAAAATACATTAAAATGAGTATTATAAAAATGATTACCATTTAAAATAACTCATCCTCTGCTCTATTAGAATTCAAATGTAATTTATTCCTGTGACGGCAAAGCAGAATTTTCAGCAGTACTCCAGTCTTCAGAAATCAGAGATCCTTTAGAAATCCTTCTAACATGCTGATTTGGTGCACAAGAAACATTCCTTATTAATATCAATGTTGAATGGTTATGCCCGACCCCAAATTTTTGCACAGTATAGTCTATTGTGTACTGTACTTTAATCTGTGCCACATCTGCCATAACGTTTTGTTTATACTGTATATACAATAAAGTGATAATGCCATGATGTCAAGCTGTCTACTTGCACAAACTGGTGACAAATACTAAACAATCTAAACCCATTCAATTTGTCTTGTCTACACAATTTTGACCACAATAAAATTTTCAGGCTGATGGACTTATGTCATTTATGTTGCCGGTTCATTAAGTAAAAATTGATTAGTTTCTGAGGACAGGACCCTGCACTAACAGAGCTCTATGAGATTTTGGGGGATGGTTAATGCTATGCATGGGTTTTGCTGACACGTCCCGGTTTAAAGATGATGAACACCTGGGGCCAAATGCATAAACTTAGCCACAGTGGTGTAATGTAACAAAGTAATAATACTTCATTACAGGGGCGGATTTAGTGATTTGGGGGCCCCAGGCAAAATACAGGAATGGGGCCCTATACAATTTCACACATTTACAACCTTGAGGTTTGTTTCACTGTTGCTCGCTGCTGCACGACCGTGTCCCATAGTTGTCTCTAATCTTTTTGATTTTTCATGTACATGTTATAAATAAAGAATTTCTTTAATGTTGTAAATCCCTTGTTCACATTTAAACAGGTTATAATAGTATTAGTGTAGGTTGGACACTAGGTGGTGCGTTGGGGTAATTTTCACTATGCAATTAGCGTATCTACACAACGCAAGGCTGTCTAATTCTAAACTTTAAAATGTACATTTATTTTTTATTTATTTTAATTGCACATTTAAATTAAACTGAAGGAAATTGTAAATTTACATGCTTAAGGATTATTTCAACCAAAAGTGAAGTGTGCCTGTGTGGAAAGTGACTGTGCATGGTCCTTCTTGGGTCTTTCACAAAAACGAGTGAGCGCCATTTAAAAACATTTAAATATATAATATGCGCTGTTGGTTAGTATTAAAATTATAGCTTGAGATGCATGATATTTGTAGGGCCCTATGAAATCCGTTTTATTTTTCCCAAATTATCCTAAGTTTTCTTTTCTCTTTTTTTTATAATATAGTTTATATTTATCTTTTTTTCCGTTTTAATTTTTCTGGATTCAGTTTTTTTTTATTATTATATTCAATTTTAACAAAAACATGTCTAATTAATACAAATCATGAAACTTGTTTAATTTAACAGCAATTTAGGCCTATTAAAAGTTT